GTAGCGCGACCATCACCACAGTCCAGTTTCAGAATATTCGCGTCATCCCAAAAGATTCCCTGGTGTCTGTATGCAGTCTAATCCCTGTTGCCCCACGCAGTGACTCTTCCACTTTCTGTCTCTATGAATTTGCCTTTTCTAGACATTTCATATAAAAGGAATCACACAGAATGTGTTTTGCTCCTGGCTTCTTTGACTTAGCATCACGTTTGTAAGGTTTGCCCGTATCGTAGCACATCTGAGTAGATCCATCCTTCTTTTTTTTTTTTTTTAATTTTGTTAACGTTTTATTTACTTTTGAGAGAGACGGAGACAGAGTGCGAGTGGGGGAGGGGCAGAGAGAGAAGGGAGTCACAGAATCCGAAGCAGGCTCCAGGCGCCGAGCTCTCAGCACAGGGCCCGGCGCGGGGCTCGCACTCACGAACCGTGAGATCATGACCTGAGCCGAAAGAGCCACCCAGGCGCCCTGATCCATCCTTCTCTTATTGCAAACACTGCTCCATTGTCTGGATAGACCACCTTTTTGCTTATCTGTTCATCAGTCGATGGGCATTCGTGTCGTTTCCAGTCTGAGGTGATTATGAATAATGCCAGGGACACGCATGTACGTGTCTTTCCGTCGAGTCTGTTCTTATTTCTCTTGGGTAGATTTCCAGCAATAGAATTGCTGGGTCATAGGACAAATGTATGCTTGATGCTTTAAGTAACTATCAGACTGCTTTCCAGTGGTGCTGTCCTCGTGTGCAGTGCCATCGGCAGTGTACATGGGTCCCAGTTCCTCCACATCCTCACCAGCACCGGGTGTCGTCCTTCTGGTTACAGCCAGCCTGGCGGGAGTGAAGTGACGTCTCTTTGCCGTTCGGACCTGTGTCTCCCCGGTGGCTTACTGCGCTGAGCCGTTTTCTGCACACTTACTTCTAGACTGCACTTGACCTTTTCAGCCAGGGGTTGGCAAGCTTTTTCTCTAAAGGGCCAGATTGCAAATATTTGGGGCTTTGCAGGGCACGTTGGATTTCTGTCCCATGTTCTTTGGGTTTTTTTTCTTTCACAACCCTTAAGACCATTCTTGGCTTCCTTGCACAGAAAGAAGCAGGGGGCTCGGTTTGGGCCCCCTGCTACACTTTGCTAACCCCTGCTTTAAGCTCCTCCCAGAGAGCTCTGGGGCCCATGACCAAAGAATCCGGTGGCCACGCTGGACATGGCAAGATGTCACCCACCCGTCCTGGTGAAGGGGCTCAGTGGGAGGATCATACCGCAAAGCTAAGGGCCAGGCTCCTGGGAGCCTGGGAGTCAGGGCTCCAGAGGTGTCCCTGTCCCAACCACACTGTGATTCATGACCAGATGAGCTCATTGGAGTTTTTGGGGATGAAACCTGCTAATTTATCACCACAGCAGAATGAATGGGTCCCTGTGGGTCCTGGGTAGGCTTCTCTCTGCCCTGGAGCTGCCCTGTCCCAGAGCCAGCGGCCTGTCTAACCCCCATGACCGTGATCTCACAGCCCCACTGTCCACCTGCTGCCCCCACCCACCGCCTTCCCGCAGCTCCTCCCCCACCGCCCTGGCCGCCTGGCCTCGGGTTCTCCAAGCCTCTTGTCACTGAATGCCACCAAGCATTCTTGAACCCCCTCCATTCATCGTGTCTCTCGGTGAATCTCTCTCTCCTCTCTACTGTCTGCACTGGCCCTGAGGGACATGATAAAAGAGAGAGACCTCTGGAATTAACCAGAGTAGATTTTGACTCCTGAACCGACCCTTTCTAGCAGTGTGACCTTGGGTCCTGAACTCACACCTCTCTGGCCGTGAGAGTCGTACGTGTGAGCAGGACACTGGAGGCTACAGCACAAGGTTGCGGGTGCCCCTCTGAGCCACCGCACTCTGAAGGCTGCTCACCGGGACCGCACGTGGCTCTGCCTGGGGGCACGTTCCTCTCTGGCTGCGAGAGCAGTTTGTCCACGGTGCGGGGCCCTGGACAAGAGGTGTCCAGAGAGTGGGCGGGCAAATGCAGCGTCCTCACTCCCTGGGGGAGGGGAGCGGGGAGCACTGTCTCCTCAAGCTCCCACGCGATTCACAGAGGGTCCCACAGCGGCCCAGTCGTAATGCTTGGTGGTGCCCCGTTAGTGACTGCTTCCTCCTCCACACCCTGCACTGATGTGCCCCGCACCACCTCTCAAGTCAAGAAGCCATCTGCCCTTGGGTTCTTGTCTTAGGGTCTGCTCTGGGGGCTGCTTAGCCTGTGGCAGGTCCCTGGCTCCCCGGGTCACAGTGAGGATGGAGAGAGCTGATTGATGCCCAGGAATGCCTAGTGCCTGGTGGGTAGCATGAGCTCATTACCCTGTGGCCCTTGTCACGAGCCCTGGGACCCTCTGGTTTTGAATGCAGCTTCAGCCTCTGTGACCACAGGTGCTGGGGACACCCACTGAACAAGGGCTCCGGTGCCAGGGGACTCAAAAGAGAGTGTCACCCTTCCCCGCTATGGAGGGGGTGTGTCGGCGGGCCCCGGGCTGGTGCTACCCCGTGGGCCCTCTTGCCCAGACCTTGCTACCTCGGGGTCTCAGTGATGTCTGAGTGTGGAGAGCCGCGGGCGGTCCTCACGGCCACCTACCCCCACACGCTGGCTGTATCTGGCAAAGTTCCAGCGGGTGGGGTGGAACAATGCTCACCAAAGATTAATGACAGCTATTTCTAGGTTGTGGGATTTTGGAGGCCCCTTTTCACTTATCCCCTTCTTTGTGCGTTTCAGCATGGTTTAAATTGCTTACAAGGAGCAGGCATCGTTTTCACGAAAAGAATGAAGTCATTATTCTTTCAAAGGTAAATAGCTTGCAGCTGATCCGAAGATAGGGCCCTTACAGCTCAGACCGTATTCACATCTAGGATCTGCTGTGGGAACACATGGGTGTGCATCGTGTGGTTTTCTTTGGGGCTTAATACACGGCGAGTTTCCGTGACCATTTCACGGTCGCTTAAAAAGCAAGCAATTCTCTGGGTATGGAGCAAACCCACAGCGTCCAGGACTCGGAGGGGCCTTCGTCTTCAGGGGCGGATCGGGTTCTTGCCTTGGGAAGCGTCTCCACGGCTTTAGACTTGGGGAACTTTGGCTCTGCACAGACCAGGCGGTGCGGAGGTGGTGCCTAGCTGACGGTAACTAGGCCTGAGGCTGGTTACCGGCCCAGGGAGGCCTCTGGGAACCGGCTGTGTCTCGTCATTAAAGTCCTGGGATTCACTAAGTCCTCACTGTCACCGTCACCCCCACCGGCCGCCTGTGTTCACTGAACGTCCGCCCCTGACAGCTCGCCGCGGCGTCTTCCAGTCCTTAGAGCATCTGCAGTGATTGACAAGTCTGTGTTTCAGGTGGTTCCTCTGTCTGCCGCCCCTCAGAGAGGCATCATCGCTCTCTGGTTCTTGATGAGGCGTGGTGACTGCCAGACCACAGCCAGACCAGGAGGGAGAGTAAAGGGCAGGCAGGTGGAAGACGGGGTACGGGGACCAGCCATACTGATTTGCTTAAGAAAGATCCGGGCTGACGAGGGAAACAGACTTTGGTGTGAGTTCGCTTTGTGGGTGATGGTGGTGGTGATGGGGCCTGATGAGCAAGTAAGAGACCAGAAAATCGTGGAGTTTGGGAACAAATAGGGGGAAGAAAGTAGAGATACTATTTGTACTGCTGGAGGTTGTGCATTTCGTCCTCTTTTTCCAAAGAGATGAGTTATGTACCCGGGTTCCCTTTTTGTTGCCAGTGGCTAATTCTGTTTGGACTCTGCCTGTGAATGTAACTGCGTACAGAGGGCGGACCATCGTGGGTCCAGAATTTGTCAAAGTCACACCCTGAAACAGGCTGCAAAGTATTTTCCTGCCTGATTTATGGAAGAGGAACTGAGGCTCAGTAGGTGACATGCTTCATAGAACCGGGCCTGCCTGAGTCCAAAGTCTGCCTCCTGTGCCATGGCGAGGCCTCACCCAGCAGTGAACTCAGGTTGGTAGGGAGCACATCCCCAGATACTTCCTTGAAAGTGCTGGGTTCCGAGATCACTTTGTAATTTATAACTCAGAAACGAAAGGGTCAGGGAGACCCCCAGCGGCCTCAGTGGGGGACCCTGACCTCCTCCCTCCCCACTCCTTCATTCAGACTCTGGCTCAGAGACTGTGACTCGTCACCCCAGCTGGCTGCTTGGTGCGGTGACACTAAACTTAGGTTTTCCCCAGGGAGCAGAGCACTTAATGAAGGAGTTCATCCAGTGGGAGAGTCCCAAGCCAGGGCAACAGTGGGGCCGGCAGCTGCCGGGGCCGGGAGGCACTTTGGCTGGGACCTCCGCCTTCTGAGGGCTGCTGTTTCCATGATGTCAGAGAGGCGGAACTCACTCCGCCTCACATCGAGGGAGACAGCAGCCCGTGCCCCAGTTCTTCTCCGCTTTGGACGCAGCCCCGAGCAAAGGTGAGGATATGCTCCGTCCCACTCACCAGGTGGAAACTGAGGTCCGCTTTGCGGTTCTCGGGGGCCTCTGGGCTTGTCACCCCCTGGCCGGGGTTGAGTACCTGGCCACAAGCCTGTCTGTCCTTTTTCTTAGCTGGACTCCACTCTCCAGAGGGACCTCTTAGGGTCGGGATGAGTAGAAACAGTACCTCCAACGCAAAGAAAGCCTCTCTCTGGACCCCCGAATGCTTCCTTCCACCCTCCCTGCGTGTGAAAACTTAGGGAATACGTTTGGGAGAAGACGTGATCTGAAAGAGACATCGCTTTGTTGTTTTTTTAAGTCATCGGAAACAGTGTGGAGATTTCTCAGCTAGTGTTCAGAAGGCCTGTCTGCAAACATCGCCTGTGACCCTGGGCAGGGACTTCTCCTTTCTCTGCGAGTCAGTTTCCCACGGGAGGGTTGGTCCACACGGGCAGTTTTTCGGGGCCTTGTACCTGCTAGGGCATCTGTTTCTCTGATCATCTGGTGTCCTCTTCCACCATCAGAATATCAATAACATGTTTGTGTCTCTTTCTCCCTCCCGACCAGAAAAAGATTTACAAATATAAGAAAGTTCTGAGTAACCCAAGCCGTTGGGAAGTTGTCTTGAAGGAGATCCGAACTCTGGTGGACATGGCCCTGACATCCCCCCTGCAGGATGACTCCATCAACCAAGCCCCACTGGAAATCGTCTCAAAACTGCTCTCAGAGGTAAGACGTGCCCCCTGCTTGACTGTGCACACCCCACCCCCACCCCCTCTGCCGAGCACCAACGCTGTGCCGGGCAACAGATTCGGACTTGAGTTTGTATCATCTACCCGTTACGGGCCGTCCCGGGGGTGTGGCAGGGGGAAGGGGCAGTGGTGACCACCCTGCCATGCCCCACGACCGAAGCTCGGGGGACTAGCCTCGGGCCTGACGACAGGCTGGTGGTGATGATGGCAGCAGATTTCAGGAGCTTCCAGTTTTTCCCGAGCCAGAGCACATCGGTGAAGCCCCCAGACTGCCCTGCCTTCCTGCCCGCCCCCCACCACCCGTCTCCACCTTGCCCTGCCCTGGCCTGCGTCAGCTGCAGGGGTCCAAGCGGCTGTCGCTTTCTGCCTCCACGACCCCCCAGAGCCTCAGAAAACCCACTCTGCTGTGCCAGGCAGCCCCCCCGTAGGGTGCGTGCCGTGCCGGGCACTGTCCTGGGCATTGGAACAAAGACAAGCCCCCACCCCCCCTGGAGCTCACGTTCCAGCAGGGAGACAGACAGGAGCGTGGGGGCTCAGCCAGAGCCAGCCGCGCCATTCGTGTGTAGGCGAGGGCTACTTGGGGACACGCTGTGACTCCGGCCCGGGCACTCTTCTCCGCGCTCCACAAGTACTAAAGCTGTCTCGTTTGTTTGCCTGCCTGGGCCCCTGGGGACGCTGGCGTTGATGACTCCCTGTTTGGACTTTCCACGGCCCCAGGGCAATGCCTCCGTCCCCCTTCCCTGGGAGTGGCCCCTGGTTCCTTCTAGAAGCACAAGCCCCTTGCTGCCTGGAGCCACCCCTTCCCCCGCAGACCCAAGCTGATTGCCGCCCATCAGTCCAGGAAACTGGCCCGGGCCTTCTTCCATGTCTGCTATTTGAGCAGAGAACCCCTTTCCCTGGAAGGAAGTACGGCAAGAGGTAGAGGGTGGGCTGCAAAGACGGTGGCAGGTAGAGGAACAGAAGACGTGCCCTCGGGCGTGCGACAGCTTCATTTCGCAGAAGAGCAGAGACTCACGCTCTGAAATGCATCACAGTCAAGGCCTGGAATTGGAGGCCAGGCCGGGTGCTGTATGTGCGACCTGAAATCCCGGCTTCCCGCCTGAGCAGGGGAAGGGCCCCAGCAAGCAGGCCCGAGGCTGGCCCCTCACCGCGAGTACACGCCTGCTGTGTGGCGGCCAGTGTCAGGTGCCGTGCAGCACGGCATCTCGTGTCGTACAGTCTCCCCTGAGACGTGGGCCTTGCTGTCTCCGTTGTACAGATGGGGAAACTCAGGTCCAGAGACACTGGAACACCTGAGCAAGTGGTGGGGCTGCAAATTCCACCTTGGGGCTTGCTCGCTCTCCCTGCAAGACCACCTGCCCGCCCCTCCTGCCCCGCCAGTCCCGGCCGCCACCACACTGTCGTTGACATCAGGTTCGCTGTCAGGACAATGGGAAGGCGGCCGACGGGCACTGTCGCCAACCTCTGGCGGCGTTTATGTCACATGTGACCGCGCGCCCGTGGGCCTTTGCATCGCTTCTCAGGCACCTGATCCCCAAGCGCTGGGGTAGGAAAAGATAAAAGCATTTAAAGAGGAAAAAAGGGAAGAAGCTTGCATTTGCTGTATACCTACTGTGTGTCGGGCAAGGGGTCAGTATGACTCACCGTGTCTGACTGGTAAGAGCTGTTGTTTGGTAAGGGACAGAGCTGGACAGAGCTGTGCCCGGGCAGCATCCCCTTGAGTAAGGCTTGACGCCTCCCTGAGTGACACTCAGGCTCTGTGACCACTTTGGCAGGCATTTAGTGCTGATACTTAGCATTTCTCCAGGGACCCTGCAGGGTAAGTACTAAAAGGTACAGACGAGTAAACAGAGGCTCCAAGAGGTTGTCACCTGCCCAGGGTCACTTGGATAAGTGCCATTTTTATTGCCATGGGCAGTAGTCATGACCTTGACCTTAAAACCACTCTCAGCTTAAGGGTCTAGGAGGATGGGTGGAAAGACAAACAAATCCTTCCTCCTCCTTGCCCTTTCTTGTGTAGATTATATGGGCTAGCTTATTTGCCTGTTCTCTTTACTCAAGTTGTCTCCGGGGTCTCCTTCTACGAGGCTCCAGGTGTCATCAAGCCAACCAGGAGGTGGGCAGGATCCCCAAGGAGGGGGTAGAGGGGCTGTTAGTTCTGCGAAAGGACTGCCCATCCGCCGGCCAGACAGAGCCGCATCCCTGACCTCCCGGGCCTTTGTTGACTTCAGTGTGTGGAGAGGCCGCTCAGTTTGGGGTTCAGGTGTCCCCTATGATTCAGTGGCCGTTTTCAGTGAGTGCTCTCCACCCAGGGTTGAAAATGGCCTTGGGAGAGAGAAGTGTCCCTGCGGAACACCACAGGCCACCACCAGTGACTGGGACAAAGAAATCAGCATCTGTATTTACCGAAGGCTCTTCCTGGGAAGGTGCACAGGTGCAGTGAGGAACGGACTGAGCCCTTCAGAGTTGTCCACCATGGCCCGAAGGATGGGACTGGCCCTTGCTTGGGCTGAGCACCATAGCTCAGTGGTTAGAGATGCAGGTTTTAGGGGGGCACCTGGGTGGCTTAGTCTCTTAAGCATCTGACTCTGGATTTCGGCTGAGGTCATGATCTCACAGTTTGTGAGATCGAGCCCCGGCATTGGCCTCCTTGCTGACGATGCAGAGCCTGCTTGGGATTCTTTTTCTCCCTCTTTGTCTCTGTCTGTGCCCTTCCCTGAACATGCATGCACTTTCTCCTCTCCCTCTCTCTCTCTGTCTTTCTCGCTCTCTCTCAAAGTAAACTTTTATAAAAAGAGAGGGGCACCTGGGTGGCTCAGTCGGTTGGGAGTCCAGCTTCAGCTCAGGTCATGATCTCACGGTCTGTGACTTTGAGCCCCGCGTCGGACTCTGTGCTGACAGCTCAGAGCCTGGAGCCTGCTTCGGATTCTGTATCTCCCTCTCTCTCTGCCCCTCCCCAACTCGTGCTCTGTCTCTCAAAAATAAAGAAACATTAAAAAAAAATTTTTTTTTGAAGAGAGAGATGCTGGGGCGCCTGGGTGGTTCAGTCAGTTAAGCATCCAACTTCAGCTCAGGTCATGATCTCACAGCTCATGAGTTCAAGCCCCATGTCGGGCTCTGTGCTGACGGCTCAGCCTGGAGTCTGCTTCAGATTCTGTGTCTCCCTCTCTCTCTGCCCCTCCCCTGCTCACATACTGTCTCTCGCTCTCAAAAATAAATAAAGATTTAAAAAAAATTGTTTTATAAATGAAGAGAGAGATGCAGGTTTTGGCATCAGGACAGAGATGGTGAAACCCACACCCCACCGTCTCTTACCTGTGCTCCTGAGTCAGCTGCCGCACCTCGTGAGACTCCGGTAGCTCATCCGTGGACAGAAAAGCAGGAAAAGCATCGTAAGAAAGAAGAGGGATGTGGGATGAGGGTTACAGAGTGCACTCGCACTGCCTGAGGCATAGTGAGCTGTCATTGCCAGTCAGAAGGAAAGACCAAAGCCACGTTTCCATCTACCCTGGGCGGAAAAATTGTTGATGTTTAATAATCTGCCATAAATGGGCTGCTTAGAATCCACCAATGTCCAAAAAAGAAAAAGCCTTTGGATTCCAAAAGACACCCTTCCACCTTCCGTGTGTTCCTGGATTCTAAGCCCAAGGGCCTTGCTGTCTCCATGGGAACCCGGGGACTTGAGGAGGCAGACATCGGCCCGGCCGGGTTCCAAGGCTGTCTTCACCCTTTGGGCAAATCCATGGCCCAATGGCTTTTCTTTTGTTTCAGCTGCTTGTAAATGCCAGATACCCTGATGCTCCTTAAACGTGATGCCAGGTGGTGCGCATGGTGGGGCTGTTTCTAGAACCCAACAGCCATCGATCTTGCCAGTTCACTGTCCGGTGAGACGGCATGTTACCAGGGGCCAAACGCAGCCCTATTAGGAAATCTGAACCGACACCAGGGAGAACCCATTCCACCAAGAACAAACAGATGAAACCGAACACAACACGAAGCTAGAAAAGGAGACGGTAGTTAGACCGTTTCTGGTTTCTCCCATGATTTCTCATTTATCGCGTGATCATTCCTTCCCTCATTCACATACGCACAGGATGGTGGTAACAGGTACCAGCTGGACAAGAAGATCCCGCATTGGGGAGGGAAAAAACCCTAAAATTTAAACAAGCTTAACGCATTCCACGTAATACTATTTTTGCAAGTTAATCGCTGGCATTTGAATTTAACTAAACCACGTTTGGCCAGCTCATGGAAGACCATTCTTCCCTGGGAACCTAGCTGGAAAGCTGTTGTGATAATACGTATGTGCCGCTCTTATGCCTGGTGCACAGTCAAGATTCCAAAGTCTGTTTCTTTATGTGTTTACTGTGAACCTGCCTCCTGGCTCCCCAGTGGCATCTACATGAGCAGCACCAAGCGTGCGGTTAGGTCTGTCTGTATACCCTCTCACTGAAGCCCACAGAGGATCCCTATTTATGGGAGAAGAAACCGAGTCTCACCAAGGAGCCAAGGTCGCATAACTCAGAGGGGTGAAACCAGTACTGGAAACGCAGTCCCCCCGCCCCAAAGCCGTGCTTTCCTCCCTTCCCGACCAATTCTGTGAGGGGCTTCTGATCTGTTTAATTAAGCAAAGTGACCATTGCTCGCTGAGATGCTGAAAGCGTTTTTCACCGGTTGGACCTTTGAGATGTAAATGTTCCATTTTATTAATGTCAGTGTTTCTGTTTTGTTTTGTCTCCCTCCTGCGCTCTCCATTCAATCCCTCAGAACACAAACTTGACTACCCAGGAGCATGAGAACATCATTGTGGTAAGTCTCTCCGGACCCTTCTCCCTCTGTCCACCTCTTGGGGCCCACAGTCCTTCCCCCCCCCCCCCCCCCCCCCCCCCCCCGCCCCGATCTGAGTGCATTCTCGGAGCACGTGTGATCCACCAGCATGGCGACCTTACTCAGTTTTGTCTTTTCTATCAAGCCAGACGAGTCTGCTTCCTGCCTTTGCACGTTTCAGAGCCCCAATTGATTGGGAAGGGGGATGTAATTATCAGTCGTTGAGGTTTGTAGCAAATGTGTCTTAATCGCCTCCTCCTTCCCGAGTGTGCCGCAGGGAGTTGAAGGCAGGAGATGGCAGACAGTGTATAATGTATTCAGAGCCATAACCCTATTAGCTGAAAGGTAAGCATTCTCTTTCTTGCCCCAGGACAGATCTCCTAATTAATCCACAAATAGAACCTGGATTTAATTCCCTCTTATACGCAAAGTGGGGTAATATTTTCTGGGACTTGACTGTGATGTAAGCATCTTTGGCGTAAAATCTCTTCCTGGGTGATTTTAAGCTATGAAGTGTGACTCTCACTAGAGAGAAGAGAGAAATGAGGTTGCACCTGCCGGATGCCAAGCACCGATCTGTGTATTTGAATCTGTGCATAACTAAGACCGTTCCTGTTCCCGAGACGTTCATCGTCTGTTGTAGGAAGACACGTAGATCACTGCACAAATAGAGGCTTGTAGTATAGAGAGTGGAGTGATAAACTCACCCGGGAGAGAAGCCACTGTGCTTCTTGGAGACAGCGATGTCTGAGTTGGGTTTTGAGGGATCAGTAGGAGCTTGCCAGATGAGGGGCTTCTGGATGGCTCGTTCGGTTAAGCGTCTGACTCTTGATTTCGGCTCCGGTCATGATGTCACAGTTGTGGGACCGGGCCCCACATCAGGCTCTGTGCTGAGCGTGAAGCCTGCTTCAGATTCTCTCTCTCCCTCTCTCTCTGCCCCTCCCCTGCTCACATGTGTGATGACCGTCCACTCAGCCTCTGTCAAAATAAGTAAACTTAGTAATAATACATTAAAAAAAAAAAAAAAAGGAGTTTGCCAGATGGCAAGACAGAGTAAAGGCCTTCCCGAGAGAGAAAATAAAATGTGCACAGAGACGTAAAACAGCATGCTCTATTCTGGAAACATCAGCATTGCTGGAGCATACAGCATAAGGAAGTAGGGAAGCAGAACTTGAAACGGAAGTGGGAGGCCAAGCTTGGTATGCACAGGAAGGACGTTCGCCTGGGCCCGAGGTCCTGTGGCTGCAGCCTTTGAAACAAGGACAGCATGCCAGACTCCGTGCCCCTCTGAATTATGGTTGCATGGGCCCTCCCCCTTGGCGCTGGCAGGCCCAGCCTGGAGAATCCCCTTCCTCACTCCAGCTGGGTCTTGTGGGCACCCAAAGAGGTGAGGCCTAGACTGTTTATTGTGGAGAATAAAGGCAGCAGCTTCTGTGCAGCCCCAGCTAGTATCTGGCACACTCAGTGGGTATTTGCTAAAAATGTAGAGGTTTTTTTTTTTTTTATTTTCCTGTGCTCCACCCTGACCACTCATTGCCTTCTCTCGCCAGAACAGGGGGGATGTCGACCTGGGCACCCCCCGTCCCCTACCACCACCTTTCTCTGGCATATTATTAACTAATAAACTCGTTGAAAAAACACTTGTCAACATGTAAGTGCAAGTATGTGCCGAAAACTTTGTGCCACAGGCTCAGTGCCACCATTGAGGGATTTATTGTGTGCTGGGAGAACCCGGCAGGTCAACAGACAATCAAGCAATAACACAGTCGGGGGTTGAGATTTGTTTGGAGTGTTAGTGGGGCACAGAGGGCAGGCACCTGACATCCTCTGCCAGTGAGGGTACTGGGAGGAGGATGACGGAGGGCTTCTAGGAGGAGGTGAGCAAACCGGATATTAAAGGATGGGTAGGCAGTCCAGGCAGAGGGCCCAGCATGAGAAAGGCAGAGCAGCGAGGCGCTGGCTGTAGGAGAAGCAGGCAGGGACCTGGGCGCCGGGGAAGGAGCCGGTGTCTTCCTCTCCCTGCTGGCGATGACTATGGGTCCCACTATGTACTTCAGCCCTGGAAGAAGGGTGAGGGCTTTGGACTGGGGACGAGCCTGGGAAAAGAATTTTGATCTGAGAGATGCAGGCTGCTTTTACCCAGCTAATTTGGCTGGGCTGACCCCTTAATTGGGCTGGGCTAAGCTCCCCTGCTCAGCAGGCATGCCTGAGAACAGAGGAGAATGTGATCTGCGGTCTGACCCCCAGCCCTGCGTTTTACAGCCTGCCTCGTAGTGTTCTTTGTCACCAGCGCCCTTATCATTATTGGGAAGTCTCCTTTCGTTCCAGAGATTACATTATCTGATTTGACCCGTGGGCAATTAGTTTTCTCCCACTGGGGCTTGGTATTTTTTTATGTGATTGTTTTCATAAACACTCTCACGAGTAACTTGAGTTGGTCTTACTCAGTCCATCTGGGGTCAGGCATCTGTGCAGTAGGTAGGTGCTGACTAGAGCTGGCACGTCACTGGACGCGCGTCGACCCACAGTCCGAACCGCAACTGGGGTCCCACGTGCTAGTGAGGAGTGGAGGCTTGGAGCTGAATGTGAGCTCACGCTCAGAGCTGGTGCCGACCCTGGGCCCGCCCCATACGAGCTGTGACCTTGGGCAAGTAGCGGGAGGACTTCTACTTTTATTTTATTTTATTTTATTTTATTTTATTTTATTT